TGGCTAGTTGAATTTTATCCCGTGCAATCTAATTGGCTAGTGTAATCTGACCGACTAGTTAAATTTTCCCTCACGTCATCTGATTGGCTGGTTGACTTTTCTGTCCTGCTAATGATTAGTTAGTGGAATTTTCTTTCCTACCTTCTAATTGGCTAGTTACATTTTTAGTCCTGTGAACTGATTGGCTGAGCTCTTATGGGCCAGCTGAATTTCCCCTCTTGAGCTCTGATTGGCAAGTTGAGTTTTCAATTCTGCAATCTGATTGACCACTTTGTTTTTCTTCCCTTCAGCAATTTGATCAATTTCAGTCCTACAATATGGTCGTCTAACTGAATTGCTGAGCTCAGATTGCTAGCTGAATTTTCTTAGCTACAATCTGATTGGTTAGTTGAATTTCGCTTCACTTCCACAATCTGCTTTTGCAGGGAAGAGATACAATATGAGGGTGAACACAGGAGTCAGTGGTAAGGGTTGAAAAAATGCTTCCTAAGATCAACAAGGATAATATCAATAAACTTGTAATTCCTAATAGTGCAAGTCCAGCCACCATCAAGCCTTAAAGCTTATTTAAAATGTTTCAGAAGGTCTTCAGTGTAGAGAATTTATGAATGCAAATATCTTAAAAAATCAGATCAGCTGAGACATGTTAAGGGCAACATATGTAATAATTTAATGTGGCTCCTGGTGTCACTACATCACATGCTGCCACTTTGTATTACAATTCATTATTCAGGAAAGATGCTGTATGTCTCTGAAAGGTCAGTCATATTTCACAAGCATACTTTATTTAAACTCAACCTTAGGGATTATGATTTATATAGACTGCCATCTGACTGGCCAGAGTGATTTTCACTCCTGTAATCTGACCTGCTAGATAATTTTGACTCCTGAAATCTGATTGGCTAGGTGAATTTGCACTCCTTTAATCTGTTTAGCTAGGTGAATTTCCAGTCCTGCAGTCTGATTGGCTGAACTCTAATTGGCTGGTTGCTCTTCTCTCCTGTAATCTGACTGGCTAGTTGATTTTTTTCAGTGTTACCTGACTGATGGTTGAATTTTCCCTCATATTTTCCACAATCTGATAATCATATTATCTGATTGAATTATCTGTCTGGCAATCAGATTAGTTAGTGGAACTGTCTCCCCTATCATCTAACTGGCTGGTTGAACTTTCAGTCCCATGATCTGATTGGCTGAACTCTGATTACTAGTTGAATATTAATTAAACTAAATGAAAATTAAAATTCCATTAAAATTTCCCTCATGAACTCTGATTGGCTAGTTGACTTTTCACTTCTGCAATCTGCCTATGTGAGTTTTTTCCTTCCTAATCTGACTGGTTAGCTGAATTTTTTCCTCCTGTGCTCTGATTGACTGTTGGATGTGGCAATATGATTGGCCAGTTAAACAGTCCTTCCTAAGTTCTCTTACAACAAATTATGACGGCTATCTACTGATCTGGAGATGATAAATACACCTGTGGTAATAGCAGGGGCATTTTGTCCATAAGGCTACCAGTTACCACAAGCAAAAAAAAGATTTTAAAGAAATAACCACTTTGAAGTATAGTTAACTATTTTTCTACTTAAATACCTGTTTTTAGAGGGCAGTTGTGGACTGGAGGTTAGGGAACCAGCCTTGTGACTGGAAGGTCTCTGGTTCGATCCCCTCAACTGACAGTATGTGACTGAAGTACCCTTGAGCAAGGCACCCAACCCCCAACTGCTCCCCAGGCGCTGTGGATAGGGCTGCCCACCGCCCCAGGCAAGTGTGCTCACTGCCCCCTAATGTGTGTGTTCACTAGTGTGTATGTGGTGTTTCACTGCACGGAGGGGTTAAATGTGGAGGTCTAATTCCGATGTGTTCAGACACAGTTGGCTAAAATGTTCATTTCATTCATTCATTTTGTTTGATATATGTCAGTGAAACTGACTGGAGGGTCCAAAAAATAAAGGCAGTTTATAAATCATACATAACATTGAAAAATTAAAAGTTAAACAGACATAATCCATGTTCACACTGAATAGTGATATATGATTGTATATAATTTTAATCAGAGACATTTATTATTTATTGCTTGGGTATAAAAGGAGCATCAAGGAAAGGCCTAGTCCTTTATAAGCAAGTGTCAGTTCTCTTATCTTTACCAAAAAATGGGTGAACAATTAGTCCAATAATTTAAGGACAACATTCCCCAACAAGCGACTACAAGGATTTTAGGTATTTCACCCTCAGTGGTGAATAATATCATCAAAAGACCCAGGAACTCCAGAAAATCTCTGAATGTTCATGGCCTTAGATCCCTCAAACACCACTGCATTAAAAACAAGCATGCTTCCGTGATGAATATCGTCACATGGGCTCAGGATTATTTATGGAAATAATGGATGTCATGTTCTCTGGGCCAGTAACAAAAATGATCATCCAGATTGCTCCCAGTGTAAAGTTTAAAAGCCATGGTCTGTGTGGGGGTATTAGTGACCATGGTATTGGTAATTTGCACATCTGTGAAGGTACCATTAATACCGAAAGATATATATATGTTTTGGAGGAACATATTCTGCTTTCTAGATACTGTCTTTTTTCAGGGACGTCCATGCTTATTTTAACATGACAACACCAAGCTACATTCTGCATGAGTTACAACAGCATGGCTGTGTAATCAGAGAGTGTGGGGGCTAGACTGACCTCCCACTGAAAATGTGTGGTTTAAAATTACAACAACATATGGTCATGCAGTTGACTTTTATGAAGCAAGAATGGCAAAAATACCACTTTCAAAACTGGATCATCTGGTGTCTTCAATCCCTAAATTATCATTAAATATTGTTAAAAGGAAAGGTGATGAAACATACGGCCTGATTACACTTTGCATCAATATGCAAACTTGGAATTTACTTGACCACATGAAAAGCCAGGTGTAAACACCCTGAGGACTGTCCTAACTTTTTTGGAATATGTTGCAGGCATCAAATTTTGGTAAGAGTATATTCACAAAAACAATAAAGTTCAGTAAGTAAAATGTCAAATATCATAATTTTGTACTATTTTCAATTTAATACAGGTCAAACTGAATTTACTAATAAATGCCTTGTTTTATTTAGCATGTCTCAACATTTTTGGGACTGAGGTTTGTATTTTGATTTTTCTCTTTGTTGTGACCTTTCAGCTTGATAGCTAAAGGCCTGTATACACCGATCAAGCATAACATTATGTCCTTGTTTCTACGCTCATTGTCCATTTTATCAGCTCCACTTACTATATAGGTGCACTTTGTAGTTCTACAATTACAGAATGTAGTCCATCTGTTTCTCTGCATACTTTGTTAGCCCCTTTTTACCCTGTTCTTTAGTGGTCAGGACCCCCATGGACCCTCACAGTGGTGTGTGGTGTGTTATTGTGTGTTGTGCTGGTACGAGTGGATCAGACACAGCAGTGCTGCTGGAGTTTTTAAACACCTCAGTGTCACTGCTGGACTGAGAGTAGTCCATTAACCAAAAAAATCCAGTCAACAGCGTCCTGTGGGCAGCGTCCTGTGACCACTGATGAAGGACTAGAGGATGATTAGCTCAGACTGTACAGCAAGAGATGAGCTATCATCTCTGGCTTTACATCTACAGGGTGGACCAACAATGCAGGTGCATCTAATAGAATGGACAGTGAGTGGACACAGTGTTTAAAAACTCCAGCAGCACTGCTGTGTCTGATCCACTCATACCAGCACAACACACACTAACACACCACCACCACATCAGTGTTACTGGAGTGCTGAGAATGATCCACCATCCAAATACACCCAAGTACCTGCTCTGTGAGGGTCCATGGGGGTACTGACCACTGAAGAACAGGGTGAAAGGGGGCTAACAAAGTATGCAGAGAAACAGATGGACTACAGTCTGTAATTGTAGAACTACAAAGTGCACCTATATATTAGGCAGAGCTAACATGGACAATGAGCACAGAAACAAGGATCTGGTCATAATGTTATGCCTGATCAGTGTATATTGGCATGTCAATGATTCCTTTGTTTTATTTTGGAGACTTCATACATATAGTTATATTTGGTGAAGTCTGGTTGTGAGATGGTTCAGTTAGTCTGTGTTCTGTTTACCTCTCACTTGATGTACTTGATGCTGACAATATGTGTTGTTCAGCTGTTTTTCCATGTGCTTTCGTAATATGCTCCATTCAGTCTGCTGCTTTGTCTGTCATTTTAGATGTTCATATAAACACCTTTATGCCACTGGGTCTTACATAGCACCAACTTCAATTAGTTGTCAGATCTTTTCAACCAAAAAAAAACGTTGTCTGATCTTTAAACCAGGGAATCTCACTTTAGAGACTACTGCAAAAGGTGAGTCCGCATATTTTTACAGCAGATGTTGCAACTGTTATTGTTTTACTTTACCTAAAGTGTAGTATCTTTTAAGAATAACATAAAGACTTTAAAATAAATTTTATTGATGACTTTATGTTCCTACAGAGGCCTTAAGGTGACATAGTGATTTTTCTTTTTAAAGTGTAGCCACTAATTCATTTATTTCGGCCACAAGTTAATATATTAAAGCCAAGAGTTCAGTTTCTCAATGGCACAAATTAACATATTGAGGCCACAAATTAATATATTGCGGCCAGTTAAGTTCCTTGTCGCCATGTGGCCTCAAAATACTAATTTGCGGCCTCAATTTATTCATTTGCAGCCACAAGAAACTCAACTCATGGCCTAAATACAACAATTCGTGGCCACACCTTATTAAAAAAATATTCACCGTGTCACTTTAGGGGCTCTGTATTTCCTGTTTTCATTGTAGAAATAAAAATGTAAAAGTACTGGTATTTGTAGGAATACTAACCTCAGTATCAGATCGAAAAGAAAACCAGTTGAAGCGCCCATCCCAGCTGTGCTCACTACCTGCTCCCGTTCTGTTCCCTCTACTCCTCACTCCAGCCTTCTGAGCCCCATGTGGCGCCCCCTTCAGGTGATCATTTTCTCGGCGCTGCAGCCAAACCCCACCGCTGGATGACGATGGGAAGGAGGATCTGATCCAGCTAGTTAGTGACAAAGATGCTGCAAAGTTTCTCCCGTTTCTCCGGACAGAATTCTTGAAAAGCTGCGAGCCTTTGCTATGACACCCGAAGCAGGTAATCTTAGCTGACTGCTGTTCTTGTTGTTGCTGCGCTGAAGAGCTGTGCGTGTCGCCTGCCAGATTGTCCCGCATTGCGGCCTACAATAACACAGGCGAACGGGCGAGCTAGCATGGCTAATACCGAGCTACCAGAGTGGAACCGGAGAGAAGAGTTCACCTTGCCGTTCAGTTGCTCGTGTTGGGTTATTTCTGAGGAAATGGACAGTGTGCCGCAGTGCTCGTACAACCGCCAGTTTAGAGACTGGACGTTGTTTTGAAGCGTGAATCGAGTCGAGCTCGATACTCGAGCTGTCAATTCATGTGATTGATCAAACACGGCAGGAAAACTGTGCTAGCTGTAGAGCTAGTGGCTGTGCTATTAGCCAGCGTCGTTTGCTAAAGCTGGGATGGAAGGGATGGTGATTGGTTTTATTTCGGAGAGTCACCTTCGATTTTTTGACAACTGTAGTCTAATCCTAAAACAGTAGTTAGCTGGTGCGAGCTAATCTTTGTTGAGGTGAACTGCAGTAGAAGATTCCGCGCTCGGTTTGTTAGCCGTTCAGCTGCCTGACTGACACGGCTAACTAGATTAGATTAATGATGTCTTTCCTTCGAATAAAACGGGAGGCTTACGTGTGTCTGTAAGATTTGGGCGGACCAACAATGTCAGTGGGGTAATGCAGTGAGACAATCAGATTATTTGTAGGTCACGTTTTAGCTTCCTGCCTTCCTGAGCCTCACCGAGTTGTTTTGTAGCTTAGAGGCTAAGCCAGTTAGCTAGCTAACTAGCTTTGGCTACGGAAGTCCTACTTGTCTATGGTGTTTCAGCGAGTTAACCAGCTAGCAGGATTAGCCAAATATAGCATCGCCGTGTTTGTCAACTTATTTGCAGAGGCAGTTACTTGCTGTATTTGTTTACATGACACATTAAAACTGTAAGCGTAAATGATGTTTCCTTGTTCAGAATAGATATTGAAGGTTAGTTTAGCTTTAAGCCAGCTACCCAATGTTCTGTCATGTACTTGTGTTCTCTTAACCTGTCATTGTTTGTGTGAGACACACCGATCAGCCATAACGTTAAAGCCACCTTCTTGTAACTACACTCCGTTGTATCAGTGCTATGTATCACATAGGATAACTTTGTAGTTCTACAGTTACAGACTGTAGTCCATCAGTTTCTCTGCATACTTTGTTAGCCCCTTTACCCTCTTCTTCAATGGTGGGGACCACCACTGAGCAGGCATTATTTTGGTGGTGGATCATTCTTACCACTGCGGTGTACTGGTACGAGTGGATCAGATACAGCAGTGGTGCTGGAGTTTTTAAACACTGTGTCCACGCACTGTCCACTCTATTAGACACCCCTACCTTGTTGATCCACCCTGTAGATAAAAGTCAGAGAGGGTAGCTCATCTGTAGCTGCACAGTTCATGTTAGTCATCCTCTAGTCTGTCGTCAGTGGTCACAGGACGCTGTTGGGTGGATGTTTTTGTGGTTGGTGGACTGGTCTCAGTCCAGCAGTGACACTGAGGTGTTTAAAACTCCTGCAGCACTGCAACATACCCGAACACGCCACAATCACATCAGTGTCACTGCAGTGCTGAGAATGATACACCACCCAAATAATACCTGCTCTGTGGTGGTCCTGTGGGGGTCCTAACCACTGAGGAAAAGGGTGAAAGGGCTCTATCAAAGTATACAGAGAAACAGATGGACTACAGTCTGTAATTGTAGAACTACAGAGAGCTCCAATATGGTAAGTGGAGCTGATAAAATGAGCAATGAATGTAAAAACAAGGAGGTGGATTAATGTTCTGGTCTGTCGGTGTAGGTATCTATGTCAATTAGTGTTCCTGTTAAGTAGCCCCTTGTTCCTGTAGTCATCTCTATTCAGTCTGAAGTGGTTGTGTTGAAATATGTGGGTTGTTGTGTCAGTTTAACAGAGCGAGTTGGAAATGATAAACAGTGTTGTGTCAGTGGAATGTGGAAGCCCATTTAGCACAGTCACAGGTTTTTAATACTTTTGTTCCAGTATTAACGTACATTTCCGACAGTGTGGAGGTCAGTGTAGGATAGGAATGTCTGGAAACATCCTGGAGAATATCAGTAATGTCAGTTCATCTTTTTGTTTTAATAAGTTCATCCTCAGTGCTGAACTTAGCTGTACGCTACTGACAAAATTAATTTCAGCTGCCTCTTTCCAGCTGGGCAGAAAGTTTTGTGATATTTAATTATGCTTAGCGCTTAGTAATTAGTGCATCTCCATTCGTACTTATAATGAACAGCTGTGGATTGTCAAAACACTCATATTTCAAGGAGAACATCTGAGATTAAACAGTGCAATCACAGTACACAAATCTGTTCACATAGAAGATAGAACAACTATAACTTTTACTGCTAATTAGTGGGCTTTGTAGGCGTCCATGATTTGGACAAAAAAAACAATTATGACTATGATACACTTTGTAACACGTTTAGGTTGCAGTGACAAACACTTCACATAATTAAAGAGTAGTCTGCATTATTTGACAAAACTTATTTCTGTTGAGTCATATTAATATCTCGATTCATCAGAACTTCTTTTGAACAGTGATCTGAAACGTGAGTTTGGTCTCAATGCTTATATCATTTAAGAATTGCTTTGTTAGAGGGCTCATTTGCATACATTGCTTGGCTATTATATGTCTGTACCGGTACGCCATGATGCTGATACACTGTGATATTGATTTTAATTATATTTTAGTGCTGTGGTTGATACCAAATGACCATTGTAAGCATGATAGTGCACATAATGTACTTTGACTTTGTGCACTTTGGTCATGGTATTCAGGAGGACCTGACAGTTAACTGTAATGCATGTCATTTGCTGGGTGCGTTAGGTTGTTTTGAAAGAAGAGTATCAAATACATACATGAATAAATAGTGTATCTCTTTTCTGGAGATGTGGGTTGTGTCTGGTTAGAGTTTACAGTACTGTGTAAGGTTCCGTTTGGTGTAATATTAAGAGAACAAAGCAGAACAAAACAGTCAAGTTATGTCAGGTTTGTAAGACATTGTTTTAGCACCAGTACACAGGAAGCATGGGCTCGATAACTTTATTAACGCTTGAATGTCATCTGATACTGTGATATATTTGGAAAATATTGTGACGTTGAAATATGTCATTACTGGCCAGCACTTCTTGTGTGTTGCAGCATTCTGCAGTATTACTGTTCCAAAACCTAACATTGTACTAGTTTATACTTAGCTGCTTTGTTGTTATTCAGGGGTACTAAAAATGTACCCCTGAATAACAACATGCTACTAAATAAAGATGCGTTTTGAACATTTCAGAGCTTTTGATCATATTTAAGCTACCTTGTATGCTTCAGACTGTTTCTTACAGGCCAGACTGCATGAACAATGAATGCAGCTTCTCCCAGTACAATGCTATTACCTTTATTTTTTATTTGTATACAGTTTATTTGAGTACTCTTCACTGTGTTACTACTTAGTTGAATGCATTACCTCTGGTATTTTGCAGTTAAATAGACTGGATTTGCTGTGCACAGGAATAGATGATTATTTGTGTAGCCCACATATAATGACAGGAAGTCCCTGTTGGAATAGTTCCCCAGTTCGGATTACTGGTCTGTTTGTGGTAGGTGAACAGAGGCAGACGATGAACTATTCACTGCTGTCAAAACATGGTAGTGCTCTGCTTAGTTTGTTTTGCCCTGCAAATGAGCAGTGGGAGCTGACTTTGCCTGCATGAGTTAGTGGAGTGCATTGTAAAATAAACAAAACTGATCATTGTATTTGTTTTGATTAATATCATCATTACGAATACAAGGTTTATAGTATAGTTTAATACAGTCACAGTATGTTAAACACAAATCCCGATTTTCTTGGGACTTGTACCTGTTTCTAGTTAGAGAGAGCGTTATTCCTTTGAAGTCACTCATTCTTCAGTTATTTTATGAGCTGTTCACCTGATGTGTCTTGTGCTTCTTGCATTTTCAGAACTTAGTTGGATCCACTAGAAGCCTGAGCCATGTACTCTGAGTGGAGGTCTTTGCACCTGGTGGTCCAGAGTGATCCGGGCCACCTGAGCGTGCTGCACTCCTACCCACCTACAGTTGGCCGTGAAGTGGCTAATGCAGTGGTACGCCCCTTAGGGGGCAGCCCTGGAGCTCCTTCCCCTGAGTGCCTCCTCAAGACTGATAAAGAGGTAAGGTGGGACTTTTTGTGTAAAGGAGAAAACAAGACAGCATCTTGAAATTGAAAACAAAATGACCTTTTTGCAAATGATTCAGTGCCCCCCAGTGATGGTGTGTGTTGTTAAAGTGTATAGGAGAGTTCCGCTGTGTTTCTTTTCCACATGTGCCTTGTAGAAATGATTGAGAAAGCTTTAATTACAAATTTATTGATGTAGAATATGAATTCACACTTATTAGAGAGAGCAGCAGTCTGATTCCAGGTATCAATATCAAGCCAATGTCAACAGAAAATACTGAATTGAATATTAGTGGGATGGAAAGAATGATTCTGATTCAGTCAGTTGATAGCCTACTTTTAGGTGCTTGTCTTAAGTGAGGTTAAAATAGATCATTTTTAAGTTTTGTACTTTTTAAAGGGGAAGTGTTGGATCAGTATCGCCTGTTACTTAAGGTTTCAATATTGGTATCAGTATTGGAAACTAAAAAGCGGTATCATGTTATCGCAAACACTCATGTTTTTGACATCTTAAGGCCACTGAGTTACACTGGGCAGTAAATGCTGTATTTGTTAGTAAGAGACTGTAGGCTATCATGTCTACATTAATAGATGTCTGCCCTCAAACTACCACTGCCGAAAACTTGGAGGACGATGCTGATATTCCATGTTTGTATATTATCCCTGTCGGGACAACCTTGTAAAATCGTGTTTTTTTTTTTTGTTCTGTATATGTGATTTCAAAACACCAGCTGCTTTTTACATTGTGTAAACATTTTGTAATGAAGTGGTCCACAAACACATGGATGTTGTTTTATTTTATTTATTAGTCTTTTAAAAAATTCATTTAAAATTATTTGTTTTCACCTTCTCCTGAAAAGTTACTGTTTTGGAGGAGGTTCAGACAGTGATGATATGCTAGCTGTTTTGTTTTTCTTCTGCTTTTGTGTTTTGATATTTTAAAATAATCTTATAAATAATACACAAGTCTGTTTTGAGGAAATGTCTCTTTGAAGCATTTGGTTGTGAAGTCACTATCACTAGCGGGGCAGGGCCATGGTGTGTCTATTTTTGTAAAGACATTTTCTCTCCTGGCAGAACAAAAGTGTTCTCTTTGTTCAGTGTATTTACATGATTTGCCTTGGAAATGTTCATAGGACTTGCACAGGAAACTTTACTTTGTCACTCGTTTGGCATCCTAGGAGCTTCTTCTGACTTGTATTTGCTGATACAAGACTGAATGGATAGCTTTCTTTAGTTCTGTATTTTGTTTGTGTGGGTATGTAAATGCTGACCCTTCATTAGACTTCTGTCTGTGTATGTGTCAGTGTATGTGTGTATATCTCACTTCATTTAGTGTAGAAATAGTAGTAAATAATAGTAAGTTCAATTTAGATAGCTCCTTCCACAAACCCAAGGAGGATTTACTTTGAGAAGCAAAAAAAACAACTAAGAAATTAGTAGAATTTACTTCCCCCTCTGTTACATTGTAGCCGTGGTTCCTGCGGGCTTCTGTGCAGCCTGATAACAGTAGAAGGATATCCTGTGAATTCCCTTTTGCCTCCCTCTCTGGATCTGATTTTTATTGACTGTTCCCACCCCCAAGCTTCCACACAGGCCTCATGCCTTCTGCTTGAGTGCTTTTGGATCAGTTCACAGAACTACAAGCCTGTTTTTGAAGTTTTAGATGAGCAGTGTCAGCAATTTGAAAAAATAATTGCATGTTTTTTTTGAAGTAGCTAGTCCATCACAGGGAGTTGCTGTAATGTTTGGGATGTTATTCTTCTGTGGGCATATTTTTTTCTACAGTATAAGTAAGAGAACGTATAAAAGAAAGAGATGGTCCACTCTTTCTGACTGTGACTTTATTTCCTTCATGTATTTGAAGTTCTTTGGTTGGATGAAGTGAGAAGTACAAAGTTCCATTTTGTTCGAGTTATAATGGGGCCTGCATGTCAGATTAGTGTGTTCCCTGTTATTAACTAATGGTGCATGCCTTTAGTCAGAGCTGAACATGCAAATAGCAATAAGCATTATCCATTATGGGAATTACAAAGAGTAAAAGAGTTCAGTCCATAATATAATTTTGTGTCCTCCGAGCAAGGCATGTGAATTCAATTATGCATAATTTTAACAAAAATCAACATGTTGGTAAACAATACATTAAACTAGTTGGTAGCTTGTATTTTTTAAGCTGACTACATAGGCTAACTGTTGGCTAACAAACACATTTGTAGCTTAAGGCTACACTCAGCAGAAGCAACATAACAAACAAAGGTGAGTTGTGGTTTACCCGACAGCACTGGTCGAACATTTATGTATTTGTTCTTTTGACATTTTGGTTGTCAGAAAAAAATATTCTAAATTGTATTTTAAAACCCATATTTACACAATTTTTTTCGGTTGACTAGCAAAACCATTTAAACCCTCAAATGTCATAATCTAGCCTTGTTTCTCTCACGTCTATAATGTAAATGATGTTGACCGGTGATGCTGTGCATGAAAGACAGATGTGTTATATTGTAGGATGCAGATTGCAGTTTATACATAACAGAATGTTACACTTTATGTCCTAATGTTTGTAGACACCTGCTTATACAGATTTATTCCCCAAAATCAAGGGTATTAATGGGGAGCCCCCAGCCTCTACTCATCTGGGAAGACTGTAAAGTAGATTGCTTTGAGGGTTTGGTTGCATTCAGTTAAAAGAGCATTATTGATCATATACTTATGCTCAATCAAACATTCAATCACTCACTCCATCAATAAATAAATACATCAGTAAATAAAGTGGTTCACCGCAGCATAGTTGTTTTACTGATTTTAGTTTTAGTTAAGTTTATTTAAGTTTTAATTAAATCTTTAATAAAAATAATATTCTAAATAAAATAACTAGATAATCCAACATCATTTGAAAACTATCTGTCGTTTTAACAGTTGCTACTACAGATGATCATTCATGAGCTCCTCCTGGTGTAGATTCATGATGACTTTTGATGGAGATTGTGCAGGCTGTGTGCAGGCAATTGAATGCCTGTGTCAGCGATAACTGTGTACCGTAAAGGTGAATTCACTACTTAGAAAGGGGGCATAAAATATACACTTGCTTTCACCAACATTGATTGTCGAAGTGCAGAACCAGGAGCCTCTGAGGTCTTCTGTAGTGCAAAAAAGTGGTAGCCTTTGGAAATTGTTGTGATATCTGAAATAATTTTAAATACACATTTACCACACCATTGCTTACCAGTCAGTTGTGTAAAAGCTTTGCATTTACAAGCTCTAATTATTCTTCCTTTTGTCAACTCTAGGTGAAATGGACTATGGAAGTACTGTGTTATGGACTGACTCTTCCTCTGGATGGAGATACAGTTAAGTTGTGTGTGGATGTCTATACTGACTGGATTATGGCACTGGTGTCACCACGAGACTCCATACCCCAACCCATCATCAAAGAGCCCAACCTTTATGTGCAGACTATCCTCAAACATCTTCACAACCTCTTCCTACCAAGGTAACCAGATACATCTGTGTGTGTGAGTGAGTGATTAATTGATCAAAGATGTCACTTAAATTCTCTTCAGCTAGGAACAGATGTGTGCATTAATGGTAGCTGACTCATTTCCAGATAGCTGGCAGAAACATAAAAAAAATAATGGGAATATAAGTTTACATAATTATGGCTTTAAAATCAATGTAGGGACTCTTGTTTTAGGAAAACTGCCACTTTACCATTATGAATCTGCCATGTCTAGCCTTTTCCAACTAGCCAGCTAAAATTCTTTACTCTTTGAAGTATCTTTCAAATAATGTTAGAAAATGGGTAATTGTTCAGTTATGATGAAGTGATTAAGGTTGCAGCAGTGTCATCATTATTTATACAAAAGATGTATTGTTGAAAATTTTCAAAATCGACATGACACACAGTGACCTCTTAGCCAGTTTATAGCATAATCTGATTCACTTTTATAGCATAAACGTAAAACGCTAAGAAATGAAAGCATTGACATTGTGTACCCATTTTAAATACAAACAGGAGTGACACTTCATAAAGATTGCTTGAATTGCTATATATGTCTTAACTGCAAACCATATTTTTTATGATTCTATAAAGAGTTTCTCTTTCACTGTTCATGATAAATGTGGTAATGCTACTACAAAGTTCTTTGAATTTATGCTTTAATAACAAACACATCCCAAAAGCCTTCTTGTTTACCAACAGAAAACATTTTTTTTTTCTTAAGCTTGATTGTGAATGTAAATACTCTCCTTCCATCTTAGGCCTGAACACTTCAGCCCCATGCACTTCAGGTTGTGTCAGCAGGTGTTGTCCGCAGTGCAGAAGCTGGCCCGAGATTCTTCCAGCATGGCTAGAGAAACCTGGGAGGTGCTGCTTCTTTTCCTGCTCCGCATCAATGACACCTTACTTGCCCCACCTACTGTAGGAGGTCAGTAGCCGTGACAATGTTCTGCTGCACCCCTTACCATATTTCAGCATGTAGGTTTTCTTCTCCATTCGAGAACAGTGCTGCACAGTGTCCACACAGTTTCATCTTTTCACCGAACCATCCTGAGACACCCATTGCTTATTCTGACCCAATAACTATGTTATCTGTTGTGTTCGTAGTGGGGACTGTTGTGTGCTATTTTCAAAAGTGTTTACAAGCCTTCTATTTTGGTCCCCTCTAGGTGGGATAGCTGAGAAGCTAGCGGAGAAGCTTATCAGTGTACTGTTTGAGGTCTGGTTTCTGGCCTGCACACGTTGTTTCCCCACCCCACCATACTGGAAGACTGCCAGGGAGATGCTGGCTAACTGGAGACACCACCCGCCAGTAGTGGAGCAGTGGAGCAAAGTTATCGCCGCTCTCACCTCCAGGTCATTCTACTATGGAATGAAATGGGAGATCCCAACAGTTTCAAACGTAGACATTTTTTGAACACATGCTCATTGTACTGTTATTTTTAAATTGAAATTAATTTTGGTTTTTAAATATGTTTAATATGCTATTTTTTGTATTTTCTGTATTAGACTGAGTTAAGGGTTATTCCCTGTAGGTCACTGACTAAAAAGATTTGTTGTATATATTGTGTTCACTCTGTATCTGTTCTTCAGGCTACTGAGGTTCACATATGGACCATCCTTCCCTCCTTTCAAAGTGCCAGATGAGGATGCTTGTCTCATTCCTACGGAGATGGACAGTGACTGTGTGGCGCAGACTTGGTACCGTTTCTTACACATGCTCAGGTATGTAGCAACACACATACTTAAGTTAATTCATTTAATCAAATGTCAAATGACATATTTTGTTGATTTTTTTAGATAAAAATATACACACATCCTCCACAGGCAACACAATCCTGCACATTTGAATGAGCAGTTCTTCAGGCTACTGAGGTTCACATATGGACGATCTTTCCCGGTTGGTCCATATGTGACCGTCCTTAATTTAGCTAATAAACAGTTATAGTTTATTAGCTGAATTTAGCATAACAACAACAATAAAACATGAAACGACCTGTGGAAAAGTTATGGCATGTTTTAAATTTTGTTTTATTTTTCCTTTATGTTAAACTCATCAAAGAAATAAAAACTGTGCACTAATATTTGCAGAAAAATGTCATTTTAAGTTCCTTGTAGACGATGTGTTAATTTATTTTCTCTTAGAAAAACAACAAAGTGTAATTTGACCAGGGGTGTTCAAATGTTTGTATATGACTGTATGAGCACATATATATTTTTAGCTCAGGGCTGTGTCAGATGTACTTAGTGCATGTTTTAGTACAGTGAAACTGATTGTGGTAGGTGTAAGAAGAGACACAACTGAAAATGACGTTCTTTACATCATTTTTACATTTGAGGAAGGGTCTTTCCTGAATTATAGTAATTAAGATATGAACTCTTTTACTGTTTTCCACCCTCAGTAACCCAGTGGATCTGAGTAACCCTATCATCGTAAGCTCAACTCCCAAGTTTCAAGAGCAATTGCTGGGGGTGAGCAGTGTGCCTCAGGAGGTGATCCAGCACCCCTGCCTCAAACAGCTGCCTCAGATCTTCTTCAGGGCCATGAGAGGCATCAGCTGTTTGGTGGATGCTTTCCTAGGTAAGGCTGGCTGAGTTAATGTAAATCTATGTATGAAGCTTTGTAGCCTTGCTTACATATTTATGACCTGCGACACAAGGACATTAACAAGAACAGAGTCAGATACTCATTTTTGTGGCTGTTTATTTGTGTGGTTCTTGAGATGCCTTGCATTTTTCACAACCACATCCGTGATCATAACCACAGTAGTAGTTAGGCTAGTTGCTGCATTAATTCCAATTGCAGCCCTTTTTAACTGAGCAGATATGTGTTTATATAGGCCTAGTTGTTGCATATAACAGGGACATTTTTCATACTGTTAATCGTGCGTCACATCCATATCATGGCCAGGCTCATACAACATGCTTGTGTAGTATTATGCTTGTGTAGTATGAGTTTAGAAGCCATACTTAATTTTTCAATGTTTGATGTGCCATTTTAAGAGAGATATTATTGAATTAATTGTAGTTATTTATTCCTTTTTTTGGATATTTTAATGAATATTGTATATAAAGTGGTGTGTTTAGTGTTTGGCTGTTTACGTCTATTCTACTTAAAGGTAGTAATTGTATGAAACAATCATTATACTATTTACATAATATTCTGGCTCTGTTTTTGTTAATGTCCCAGTTTCAACTTTTGTGATCTATAATCTGTGCCACAGTATGATTCTGTTTCCTCCTCTAGGTGTGGCAGTGTTTAAGAAAAACAAGAGTCATGAAACTCTGCCCTCTCATGGTACTCAGAAAAAGTGCACCTTCTATTTTCACTCCCATGATGTAAATCTGGGCAATAGGAGTTCACTAAAATGACTGTTAGTTGCACAATTTTATTAATGTTCATACTGCACCCCAGTCACTTGATTCAACAAAATGCATTCCAGTAAAATAATGACATTGTTGATGAACTTGCACCAGCTAGCACCAGCTAGTCTTGACTAACCACAGAACAAGTTGAGTGACTTGACCTCAGGGGTGAGTAATATGGCAAAAAATAACCAGTAGTGCCACATTTAAAAAATATCATCAAAAAGTATGAATTCAATCAAGACTAATTATGCTCTTTTGTAATGATGTGCTGCTGGCCAGTATTCTTTGAGCATTGACAGTATCAGCAGTATGTTAAGAAAAACATTGTGATGTAATGCAATGTAATTTGTCACAAAAGCGACAAATATCGTCATATTGCCTACCCCTGCTTGACATAGGACCTCATCTTTTTACTGCCATTCACAAAAAAAGAGTCCAACTAGGGCTTTTGTAGTCTTTGTATGTAAATGCCCATCCATTTAGTGTTGCTGAAGCTTGTCATTCAGTGATAGTTCATGCTGGACATTTAAGCCTACTCACACAATCAAAAGGGAAGAGATTTCATTTTCACAACATTGCAGATGTTCTGAAATTTTCTACTTCTTCTTGTGCTTTCTACATCGCTTTCAAGCTTGTTTGCTTTACTTTACAGACTAATTATCAGTGCGTGTGCCATAGGTGTAATTAGAAATTGCTGAACTCTTTGTGCTTTCTCTTGGTGACCTGTGTGGGTTGAGATGTTTTTAACCCTGCATCAGTGGACCTATTATTTTCTTCTTTCTCAGGAGCAACAGTGTCTAGGAGCTATATTCGAGAGAGACTTCCCTCTTTAGGTATACTAAACCTGACCAACCTAATCAAATAATGGCTAACCAAGTATCGGGTTAGCCTCACATCATACCTGATTCTTTTTGTGGGTGGAGTAGTGTGTAGGTCGCGTTGAGGTGGGCATCAATGAACATAGGCTTGCATTCTTGGAGTCTTGGAGATTATTGTGACACAAATTCCAGGGATTAGAAACAGTTCAGACAAAAATAAATGAAGTAAAATTAAGTCTATGTAACAAAACTAAAACAATTATGGAAATTTGATTGACATCACTTGTTTCTAATCCCTGATGAAACTTGTAAATTCTTCTGCTTTGCATAAGATTTTTCTCAAGATGATCTTTGTATATATATATATATATAAGTGTGCACAATTATTTTTGATATATCTGCATTTTTAATCCTATTTGTCCCCAGGTGTTGCTGTATCTAGGAACAATTTTCGTGACAGGCTACCAGCCTATGGTATTTTTTTAACATGCTCATGACGAATCATATGGGACCTTTATGTGGATCAGAATGTTGCTTGGGTTGGAGTTTGATTGGGTGGTTTAAATGGTGCATGTGCAAGGAATGCGCAAAACTGAACACAAAATCATTTACATGTTGTGAAATATATCATTTGCTATACATAAAACATGTCATATCTTTGATGCCTTGGGTACCGAGGTAATAGGGAAAGCAGTATGAATGGGCAGATATTCACTGGGCTTTTTTAGGTAGCAGTGCTGTGTCTGAACCCTTATTCTCTGGTCCTGGAGGGCCGGATTCCGTACTCAAACACACCCACTAAACCAGACGATTAACAGATGAGTTGAATCAGGACCAGAGTTGCCTTAGAAGAACTGTGAGACGTTTGTCCTAACAGCAAGCAAAGTGAACAGAATGAAAAAAAAAAACAAACTCTTCCATTATAATCATTAAAGCTGTCTACATCATCCATGCGCATCAGAGAGCAATGTGGCCCGATGCAATGCACACCCTGTTTCTATTTTTAATGCATCTCGATGATGTTCCTTCTCAACAAAATGGATGAGGAGAAACTAATCCATGTGATGGAGCAAAGAAGGGAACCATCTATAATCAGCCTGCTATGTTTAATATAATACAACTAGATTATGAGAATGTACATCAGTCAAGTAAGACTGAATAAATTCAGTGGGAATTTCCCTATATGCGTTATATGTTCACTCTCAAAGGGTGCACTGTTTTCGCTATTGTGGGGGAGTTCTTAAAAGTAGTGCCTGAGTCTATTTTCTAGATTGTGTCTGTAGATTTAATTTTGAAGGCTGAGGTCTTGGGCACTCTTCCCTGCAATTGTGTTATTGGAAGCAGCTCTCTTAAGCTGATTGATGGATGTATTCTTGAGGCAAAGCACCTGATAGCTTTATTCTGGAAAAGAACCCAGGGGCCCTGTATTATGCAATGGCTAAAGAATATGTCCTTTTGCTTGTTTGTGGAAAAAGTAACATATGTTAATAGACAAACAGTCTAAATTTCAAAATGTCTGGAATAATTTCTTACAATTTCTCACATGTAGACATTAATAAGCTACGGGAGATAATGTAACCTGAAGCATTGTTTTTGCAGGAGCCATTTACTCCATCTTTATCTTCATTTTTACTAATTTTGTGCTTCCCTCTGTGTACTTGTGTAATTTCATTGACTTTGATTGGCTCTTATTGTTGAAACACCACTTAAGGCCTTTTTTTTTTTGCTAACTGCCAACTGAAGTCCTCTATTGAACTGTCCTATACTTAGCCTACTGTTTTTCGTTATTATAATTATCTAATTAGGCCTGTGCCCAGTGATGGCAATCGAGTTACCATGGTAACAGCCCCCAGTGATAATAAAAAAACATGAGACCTAACTGAACTTTCAAATGTTGGGTGATGCGAAATCCTACATTAGCACCATATGCATATATTGTAGCTATCGTAGATGACATTGTTATTGAAATGCAGTTGCTGCAGGCAGATATCATGTCTCTTAAAAAAAAAAGCCACCTCTATGGTATGGTAAACATTTTAGGACATCTTTACACCACAGTCACAGGTTCCAAACTGAAAAACAGTTAAGTAAAAACATGTCGTTTCCAACGTACCTAGGCAAAATGGCTTCAGAGAAGGAGGCAAAGGGCTGAGCTAACAAGTTGTTGTGTTCTTTATTACTAGATTCAGCACAGTTTCATGGGCAAATTAGAAATGACATTATAACACAACTGCTAACATGATATTACTGTGTCTTCTACTGTGTCCGCCACAGAATAAGCGACCCCAATCTCTTTTCTGCACAGTCACCCGAATAAAAGGGTTCCGTTACCGGCACAGGCCTACATCTCGTTGTAAAACTTGCAAAATTCAATAAATGAAATGTTAAAAAATAAATAAAAATAGAAAAATAAAAAAGAGAGCGCTGTATGACTTTTCCTCTAAATGTTGTAATATAATAATAATAATAATAATGTTAGAAAAAAAGGTGATGTAACGTCACAAATAAATTGTATGTTTGTCTGCATTATCTAGCTAAGTTAGCTAACATTAATGACAGTGGTAGTCAGGTATCAAATAACCTTTGACTTGTAACATGTGCCAAAAACTACTGATGCATGCACGTTTGTTACACGCTTGTAAAACGTACAGTTAAAATATTTTTCAATACTGGATTTACATTGAAGACCACTTTTTTGCAGTTTATACCTAGAGCTCTTAGCTCATAGGTCTGAGGTTTGTTACTGTTTTGACTTTATTCAGAGATAGCATGTTTCCAGTGTAGACATTCTGAAGGCTTTGCGATGCAGTGCTTGCTGTTAGGACATAAGGTGTAAGTCTGGCTCTATGATGGAACTTCTGGAGAGTATAGGGAATCAAAATCTGTCTACAAGCCTTGAAGTGTCTTAGGAAGGAAAAGATATCGCCAGGCTGATGCCAGTGTGTTCTTGCTGATGTTGTGTGCACTAGTGGTCATTTGTTTGCACTTTTTCTGACTATCTGTGAACAGAAGGATTTTTAAGGAATATGCTTAATCAATATCAAATTGCTCTACTCACCCAATCAGTACTTACCGTGCAGCATCGTGAATGTTCAGATTTGTGATTTTTTTTTATGTGCATGTAGGTGTATTGTACATACTCATAACCAGACAAAAACATTCAATCTACAATGATTATTTTGTAGTTCTAGTAATTCATTGATCATTTTGAACCACCTGGTGTTTGATTCATAGGGTGTAGATCTTATAGCTACTTTTTTTTTTAATACAGGAGTTGCTTTTTGGCTTTTATAATGGCAGAAGCAACTCTTCTGTGCTATTGTGGCTTTTTTGCATTTTTCTATAATAGAGCGCAGAATTGACATGCTCAAATGATACGTGTACAGTTGGTGGTTACAAATATTGGGGATTTAAACTGGTGCTTAATGACTGAATGTGTGTCCAGGTCTGGTCTGAATTAGCCAATGTGGTGACAGGTTTATCTCCTTAGAAGTAAGTCTGCACCACTAAGGCTGGAGGCCAGATTTGGCATGTTTGAGTATATGATGCTTACAGCTGCTTCTCATTGTCACAACTTTTGATTCTGTCTCATTTTTTTCTGTGTGCGTGCGTGCATGTGTCTCTTTTAACTTTTTGAATCTACCAGGTATATCCAGACCTCGGTCAGACAGTGCCCCGCCTACTCCTGTTAATAGACTTAGCATGCCACCGCCCCCGACGACAACCAACACCACACCCCCTCATAGCCGCAGACACAGACCCACAGCAGTAACCAAGACTACCAGCAAAACCACAACGGTATGACCTACGAGGAAAGATATTGATCTAGTATAACAGTATAGCAATATAGCTGTACTATTTAAATGCTATGTAGTTACAGTGATTATTTCTGGTAGTCTGTCATATCCGATGGTGACTCATCTTGCACATCTGTATGATCACTTTCTCTTATGTGTTCTGGAGTGGCTCAAAAGACCAGTCCTTGATCAGCAGTTTCGAGAACATTTAGTACAGATGAACTGTGTAATCGTTGGAACTCTTACGGCAGATGTTTGTAATGCTGTTCTGCTCTTGCTGCCCTCATACATTCGCTCATTCCTGTTCTTCTCAAAGGTTGAGAAGGCGGTGTTAGCAAGGGCACACCAGACTTTTCTGTCTGTTGCTGCCCTCAAGTCTTTTGACTTAACTTTGCAGTACTTATGTAACAAATTGCATTTTCTTTTAAGAAATGACATTGCAAAAATGTAACTTTTTTTCCTGCAAAGCAGGTCTACACAACTATAACTTTTCATCAAATTCAAATCATAAAGTATCTCCTCTTTTTAGTTATGAACACAAATGTGGAAGGGATTAAATATTTTAGAATCTATGCTTTCTACAGAATTTCTCAGCTTGTTTTGGACAGCTGTGAATAAGAAATTGTATCAAAGTACACCTTGATTGTTATCGCTAGTAATAGCTGCAGCATCTGAAAGCTGAACTAGACTTTATCACTACCCCCTTCTACACAGATACGTAATATCTTTGCAAAGGTTGAAATTTTCCGTAAGAGAGAGCTGTGTCGTGTGTTGAGTCTTTAAGTTTCTAAGCAAATGTTTTGCTTGACTTTCCAGACTGGTCAGTCCAAAGTGTCGCATCAGCCTTCCTCCACCTCTCCCCTTTCCAGTCCAAACCAGACGAGCTCAGAGCCTCGACCTCTGCCTGCTCCTACCAGGCCAAAAGTCAACAGTGTGTTGAACCTGTTTGGTCAGTGGCTGTTTGATGCTGCACTTGTCTACTGCAAACTTCATTCTGGCCTCAGCAGAGAAAGTAGTATGACTGGTAAGATGTTAACTGAGCTCAGACCTTTAATGTTTTAATTACATCTTATTGCAGTAACTTGGTTTTATTTTCCCTTTTCTCATTTATCTCTCTTCCTTTTCCTGTTAGTGTTTTCTTTCCATTCTTCTTTTTCTCATACAAAATAGGCTATTCCTACCTGCAAGATTGTACCACATTTGGAGCTTGGAGTCATTTGTGACATGAGGGTAGCACAAAGATCAGCTCAGAATACCCTGTAGTAACTTTGTAGTAATGTGCTGAATTATACTAAAATACAAAAATTCCTGAGAGGGAAATGGAAATATTAGCTCTCAAAACTCAGAACAAGAAGGTGTGCTAATAGGTCCTGAGGATTTGGGTATAACCATGGAAGTGGTTTATATAATAGTTGTAATTATATAATATACTTTTGCATTTTCTTAACATTTGAAACCATTTAGCAAAGGAGGACAGTTTTACCAGAGAAGACTTAATTCAACAAAGAAGTGAATATTAGGTATATTTCATAAAATGAACTGCCATGAATAATATCTGTGAATGTTGACCAACATTTTGCCTTTTGAATGTTGGGCCATACTTGCATGTAAGAACAATTTACCATACAGTAGTGCTTAGGGTCATAATTAATGTTGTTGTTGTTATTATTAATATTATTGTTATCATCATTATTATTATTATTATTATTATTAGTAGTAGTAGTAGTAGTAGTAGCAGCAGTAGTAGTAGCAGCAGCAGTAGTAGTAGCAGTAGTAGTGGTAGTAGTATTACTTCATTAATGAGGTACAAAACCCAAGAAATTAGAAAAAAGCTTATGGATTACATCCAGCCTTACTAGTTTTGAAGTGTCATTCTTAATTGTTTTAGTGAAGAGTTGCAGCGTATTTTACCTTTTATAATCAATGAAATCAAGGTGATTTATAACAGTGGTTCTTTAGCCATTCCTCAGGGTCCCCCAGGCAGTCTAGGTTTTTGCTCTATCCCTGTGTGTTGTAGTTTAGGTTGACACAGACATCTGTACCATCTGGGGGTCCCTGAGGAATTATTTGATAACCACTTATTTATAACAGTATTTAGAGACTCAAACCTGGAGTCTTTGAAACTGTTTTGGAAACTATATTGAGCCTTGACAAAGAACCTGTCAAATACACCTGGAACTGTGAAGTCAGATGATTTGTATTAATTTGACAAAATGCGTAAAACTTGCATTATACTTGGGAAAGAAAAAAACTGTTATAGATTATGTTTTCAGGAACTCATTAAAACAGTATTCTGAGCTGAATGCCGAACACTTTATTTCATTTTGAATTGTGGGTAGTTTTAGGTAGGCTGATTGTCCATTTTATGTTTGCTTATTTCCTTTTCGTTCCGTTTCTACTCATGCATGGTGAATAACTGAAACTCAGTATCTTGTTATAGGCACTGCGTTTGCTTCCTAGCTTTAGCTTTAGAACTATCAAAGTATTTAAAGTCACAAAACCAAACAAAGAACGATTTTGACATTCTTCATAGTTTCTGGATCTCTATTACTGCTGTTCTTTGATTTGTTTCCATTTTTATCTCTGTTATCTTGCAGCAACATTTTTCCAAATTCTTCTTTCTTATAAATCTTGTAAGTAGGAACACAAGCTTTACCAGTTGCAATTATTTGGTTAATTTTCTTTTGATTTATTTATCTTTTGCTTTGACACTGTCACTTTTTGTTGTTGCAGTATTGTTTTCTTGGGGCAAGAGATTTGACCATACACTGCTTGGTTCTGGTATTAGGGGTCCGGGGAGTACATTGACTGCTGCCCAAATGTCATTGGCTCAAATGCAACAAATATTCTGTATTCCCCTTATGAAATGATAATTAGGAGGTCAGACCATCAGCAAAGGTCTGAGAATGTTTGTTGTGATTGATCCTTTTTGGATGCAACCTAACCTTCCATCATACAACCAGTTCTTGCCCATATCATCCACCTAAAGGACCTCTACTAACCGATCTTCTCCAAAGAAACACCACAACCAACGTTATCCTCAGTTTCGCCTGGTGTTTTATTTTAGTAGCTTTTCTTTGGTTATCATTTGATTATTTTTGTTAGTTATTTTTGTTTTAAGTTTTGTATGGATATTTCTGCATGTTGTGGATGTGTGTGCAAATTGTTTCTGCCATATTGTGCCTTTATTGTGTTATTTAGAGATGCTGACCAACAGTAATTTGTCTTTTTCCACATTTGTCTTAAAAAATCTGAACTGATGTGCTTGATAACAGGGAGGCCGACCAGGAGAGCTTGTCTTTTTGTTGTGTCTGTTGTACTCAAAGATCGAAAATTACTATTACTAATTTTTTTGTGTGATTTTAAAAAAGCTATTGTTCTCAGGATGAAAGTATAGAGGTTTTATTAAAGTGCTTTTGAAGTTGCTCATAAGTTACTGTCTTTTAGAGATGATGAAACATATGACCAGATCATATGCTGTGAACAACTGATTGACCAGGACAGGGATAATAACAAAAATGGGTAATGGTCTGCAACATAGAGAACAGTTATTTAAATGATCACAATTTGTACAATTAAACTTATTAAGCAATACTTAAAATGCAGTAAAATGTCCCAGTATTTCAGTTTAACCACAATCTCCAAAGACCTTTTTGGTCTGTGGATCTCTTTGTCTGTAATCCCTGTTAATACCGTTTTTTAGTGGGCATATAAAGCCGTCACTTAGACTTTGTCTCTCTTCCTGTCCTTCTCTCTCTCTCTCTTTCTCTCTCTCTCGTTTTTTTTTTTCTTTTTCTTTTTTTCTCTTTTATCCTTTTCCTTCTTTCAGCCCTTGCAACTCAGGCTGGAGTTGAATTGAGGAGAAAAGGCTCTCAGCTGTCTACTGACACCATGGTTTCAAACCCCATGTTTGATGCCAATGAGTTTCCAGACAATTATGAGTCTGGTCGAGCGGAGGCCTGTGGAACACTATGCAGAATCTTCTGCAGCAAAAAAACAGGAGAGGAAATTCTACCTGTTTACCTGTCCAGGTAGAGTAATTGAAGAACCGTTTGTAGTAAACTGTAGTCGAATGCTAGATACAGTTGTATGCAAGAGTTTGAATGCTCCTGATTAAATTACATGTTTTATTGAGTGAGAAAACATCCTCTACAGGGAATAAACTTATATATGGTATTTTTTTGGTTTTTAGTGCACAGTTCTATTTATTTGCTGAGCTTTACCTACTGGGGAAAAAAAAACCCAAAAAGGGCTGGAGCCTGTCCAAGCGGTCTTTGGGGAGAAGGCAGGATACTTAGAAAAAGCAATAAACATGTAATTTGACCTAAACCATTGCATATGACTGTATATACACATTATTATTACAGCATTTCTGACATTTCTGAAACTCTCACAGTGCTATGAAAGAATGACCCCTAAAGCAAACAAATTATGTAACCTGCAGTAGCCTGCAGTGCATGAACATGTGCAGTAGATGTGATGATAAAATAGCATGCAGGAAAGATTTGTCATCAAGTTTCCATCAGCAGTTTTGCATTGTAATATGATGATCATCAGTTTATTGTTCTCTGTTCTTTAGTCTGCAATATTGTGTTTTTTAAATTTGGATCCTAACATTGGTTGAACAGAAATCAGTTTTTTATCCATATAATTATATTCATTTGATTGTGTAAGGCAAAATGTATTGTTCAGATGCTTGTGTACATTGTACAAACATCCAAGCGAGGTTTTGGTGATAAACTCAGTTGTTTCATTTTCTTCTTTATTCAAGTGATCTGTGCTTTATTTCTCGTCAGGTTCTACATGGTCCTCATCCAAGGCCTTCAGATTTCTGACTTCATCTGCAGGCCAGTTCTGGCCAGTATTATCTTGAACTCCTCAGCTCTGTTTTGCTCTGATCTGAAAGGGATCAATGTAGTGGTTCCGTACTTTATATCTGCACTGGAAATTATTCTACCTGATCGGTGAGGACGAACATTTGCATCTCAATATATAAAATGGCCTATTTCTAAATGAATGTTATCAGGTTGCTAGCTTGTTTTCAAAGCCAGTTTAAGGGGAGCCTGGCCACTTCCTATTTCTGCCGTTATATGAAAAACATGACTGCAAAACGCCAGAGGGCGCCCGCGAGCGAGTCCTCAATTAATGGGGGTGAAAATGAAAAGTTCGGATAGTTTCTAACCATTTGTCCAGGACCTTCCTTTAATTTTGGAAAGTAGAAGGATATATTTCACTGAAAAGCAAAGAGAACTTACCTGTATGTTTCCTTTTTTGTACAGCAAACAGGGTTTGGGCAGCACTGCTACTCAGTGCTAAAACATTGGAGTGAAGTGGTTCACACTCACTGACATTAAACATACACGCTGCACCATTAGAACGTCTTATGACTCGAATTCAAAAGCGCTCAAAAATATAGCGGTGCTGTTAAAATGTTTTATGCTGATCTGTGTTCAGGAAATGAATAATTACCTCTATCCACAATGTTCTCAAGCCCAGTCGTAAAAGCCTGTTTCCTAAGTTCTTGCGTGAAATATGTACAAAGCTTCCAGGAATCCGTAAAACAGTTGTAATAAATCCTTGGCTTACTAACAGCAAACATGTTGGAGCATACCAACACAATGTCAAACAGAGGTGATTTAGTTTTACCTTGTCCTTCCACCATAGAAGAATGGGAGGATGATATGAAGAAGTGTTAAGTTGCAAATTATATACTTTGTGGAATATCTAGCAAGCAGTGGAGAGACTGAATAAAATAAAAGCTTGGCACATCTTCATAGCAGTAAAGTCGGGCAGGTTCTAGTGAAGACAGTAGACAAATCAGTGCACTTGAAAGCAGACGTTAATCCTAGCCTGAACCTGAAGAGTCTGTAGCATCTTGATTGGGTGGCCTCTGCAGAGATGAATGAGGTGAACAAAGCAGGATTCTTGCACACTGTGGGACTCGGAAGGTCATGCAGTCATGCCACTGCAGTTTTATGGAAGTTGAACTGACAAAGTAGCTTATTCATAAAGTAAGATTAAATCACTTTAGTCATGTTGAATTGCGATGGTAATTTGTGATTACTGGATGTATGTGGTAAATATTATAGTAAATAAACTGCAGTAAGTTACGCAAATTTGTATTTCGAAGAAATAAATGAATGCTCTCTCTTAGTGGGCCAACTTTTGTACAGTTGGGAAGCAGTAAACTGTCCGGTGATTTGAGAAACTGCATTTACTACTGTTTCTGCAGTTGACAGTTGATGAAAGGAGAGGGGTTGGGGGTCCCAGAACTTTTTAAGTATATTTAGCTTAAAAAACACAACCACCTAACAAGCTAGAGTTGCTACACCGGCTTCACCAAAAGAATGTTTAAAAACTCTTCTGGATGTTCCGCACATATGTAAGAAAACAGCAGTCACATTAAAATGTCATGGATATAAAATGTTTTAGCATTTACGAACTATGATTTTGCTCAAATCCTTACCTTAACTCGCTCAGGAGCGCCCTCTAGTGTTTGACAAACCGGAAGACAGTACTGAGTAGCAGTTCTCCTCAGTATACATTCTACATTATACATTATACATCGTAATAGCTACATTAGCCTAGGATCCATTTCTTCTTTGACTGATATCACAATAGAATTTCATTTCGCAAATGCTTTTTAGAATTGATTGTTAGTCCAGATGTTTCTGAATTGTTTTGGGCGCCTTAACAGTTTTCCTTCTTTTACAGTGAATTGACCAAATTTAAGTCATATGTAAATCCCACTGAACTGAGAAGAGCTTCCATCAACATTCTGCTGTCCATGCTGCCTCTACCACACCATTTTGGCAACGTCAAATCGGAGGTAAAAACATAGAAACACTGATAGACGCGTCTTTGTGACTTGCAGAGGTTTAATGAGTGTGCCTAAATCTTTGTACCATTCAAACTGTGAATGGGTTAGTTAACACCATGGTATATAACCCAATAATAAACTATTTAAATCATTAATAATGAAAATAAAAATGATTGTCATCTTTTAAGAAAATAATTTAATTAATAGTCGTGGAAGTAAATACTGAGCTTCTGCAGAGAGCTTTTGGTTTTTTATTTTGTAGTTTAATTTTTGTTATAAAGAAATATGAAGAGTTCAGGTAAAGTCTGTGGTCAGACATGTAGTGCTTTTTAAACATTTTCAGTGTTTATCACAATGAAACCAAAGCTGTTCATTTTGATGACTGATGTCATAATGTGAAATTTTCATTCCATCCCTGTTACCAACTGAGGTGACTCACATAGTTGACTGGTTGTTTAATCTCATTAATGTCATATTCAGGTTCTTTTGGAGGGTAAATTCAGCAATGATGACAACTCACTTCATGACAAAGCGGTAACTTTCCTCTCGCTGAAGCTGCGATTGGTGAATATCTTGATTGGTGCCCTGCAAACAGAGACAGACCCCATCAATACACAGATGATTTTAGGTTTGTTTCCTCAATACTTCTGTTTGCTGATTTTGTTGATAATGTTTGGCTGTTATGTAGTTAGATTCTTGCACATATTTTGCAATTGTGTATAAGTTTGTTAGATCTTTCTCCACCGTCCTGTCTCATAGAGGCATTGAGATGGTTAAATGTAAGTTATGTGTTCATTTTACAGCTGCAATGCTGAATATTGTTCAGGATTCAGCACTGTTGGAATCTATAGGTGCCCAAGCTGAAGTAGTAAGTTGACTGCATTTCTTAACTCCTAATAGTTGTAATCAGTAAGTAAGTACTGTCGTGCATTATGATATCTATAGAGTGTGGTGTCTATACTATAGGAAAAGTAAGATGTATGTTCAGAAAATGATTCTTTTGTTTCTGTAGCTCTGTCTTCTGTTTTTTTGCCATGTGTAGGGAAGCGTGGATGGAAGTCATTCCTTGGCTAAGAGCCATAGTCGCAATAACAGTGGAATCAGCAATGCCAGTGCAGGCAGCTCAGAGGCTACCACTCCCGACAGCGAGAGACCCGCCCAGGCATTGCTGCGAGACTACGGTAAGTCCTCAGAGACTCTGTGCTGGCGTTTTGGCAAACCCAGGTCGTAGATGATTCAGAAAAGACTTGGCTGCTGTCTTCACCTGGTCATGCTTATTGTTTCTTTAGAGATAAATGGGACTTTCTCATGAAATGCATGGATTGTCTCAAGTGGACTTCATGTTACACACTTTGTTTTTCTAAGTTTGTCTGAATATTGCAAACGTACAGTATGCTTTGCAGTGCTTTTTGTCTACAAGGCATGGTGTCTTTGTAAATGTCGCATGGTCAGAAAAGTATTTTGCTAGTTGTTTGAGTCTGTGTGTAGCAGGTGATCTAGTGTAAGAACCAAAACTTCAGTTTCTCAGTGAACTGCCTGAAAATATATGCCCTTTTTATATTTATTTATACTTTTTTTTTATTTTAGAATGCCATGTTCATTTGATCATTGATGTTGATAGTGATGCACCTGATCTGATACACTGGCTCAGTATTAGCACTGATGCTGAACAGATTGTATATTGACCAGATGAGACCGTTCCACTGTCTATACTCTTTGTAGACACAGACGTGCTAAAATAGAACCGAGTTTTTCAAAACGAGATATCCATCAAACGTTCACTTTTGTGTTTTTATTAATGGCAACTGGTGCACAATTCTCTATGAAGTGCTGCAGCGGGCCAACTTAAAAGGCTTAATCTTAAGAGAGCATGACAGTGCATCAGAATAAAGTCCCTATTCAGGAGTGCTTCTCTTATTCTGTTGTGCTTCATATCAGCTTCATCAGCAACTATTTCAGGCTTTTACATTTTCAGCAATTTAATGTAGGCCAGAAAAATAGTTTTTGTGTGATTTGGAGATAGTGAAGTGATTTAGTTAAGGTGTCTACTGTGATCAGTTAGACTTTGTAACCTTAAAATAAATTGGAATATGGTTTAATGTGAAGTAATATGAAGCCCAGTGAACTTCATTTTAAAATGTCCTTATTACTAAGAATTCTTAAAATAGATATATCATGTTTTTGAATGCACTCTTCAGTTGTAACAGTATGTTTTTATGGAGAATCATGGAAATATCATGGAAATGTTTTTCTCACATTTTTTGAAGTAAAAGAATTTGCTGTAGTACGTTAAGATCTTTCAAAACATATTGTTCAAGCCCCAGTCCGTACTGTCTATATATGAAAATGAAGCTGCAAAAACAGCCGTTTTGAATTCACCATTTTTATGATGTTGTGAAAAATCCAACCTATTCACATTTATCCACTGCCAACAGCAGTTTAGCCATTCCCATTAATGTTGAAGCTATATGGAATGTTTCTGCCTGCACTACTTCTTATATGAGGCACAGTACAGGGCATCCAAGCAGAGCAGAGGCCATTTACATATCAATTTTGAAGGAGCAATAACAAAAACAGCCTGTTTAATTCTAAGGGATAAAGAAAAGTTGTAAAATGTTCATGTAAAAATAAATTGTGATTGTTTTCGGTACATAAACATGCACAAATGTCAGAAGTGGAGCGAAAAAGTAGTCAGATCTGTCCTCAGTATCAGCTGGTATCCTGAGTTTAGATATTGGAATCTGTTTCAGGAGACAAAGTCAGATCGGTGCATCCCTAGATGTTCATATGAATGACTGACATAGTGTAGCGTGTAAAGTTAGTGTATGTATGTTAGAATACATGCATGTGTGCGTACATGTGCTTGTGTGTATGACATTACCACTACTGGCTGCTGGCTGTGTGTCTGTGCTTGGCTTGGCGTGTGTGTGTGTGACTAACCCGCTCTCTGTGGCGTGCTGTGTGTTATATCCCAGCTCTCCACACAGACACGGCGGCTGGCCTGCTGATCCGTAGCATACATCTGGTCACCCAAAGACTAAACTCACAGTGGAGACCTGACATGAGCATCTCGCTCGCCGCTCTCGAGCTTCTCGCCGGCCTCGCCAAGGTGCGTGAAATTATTGTGTGATATGATGGCAACATTGTCAAAAGTTTGGGGACACCTAACTTTTCCAAACAATAGCATATGGTTTTCTTTGTTGTACAAAAACTTAACGAATTAAAGACTTACATGGATTTTTATTGTGAGTATTTATGACAGTACTACTTGTATGCTGTTTGTTGTTAGGTGAAGGCGAGTGTGGAGTCATCAGATCGTAAGCGGGCTGTCAGTTCAGTTTGTGGCTATATTGTGTACCAGTGCAGTAGACCTGCTCCCCTCCACTCCAGAGACCTGCACTCTATGATCGTAGCTGCTTTCCAGTGCCTCTGTGTGTGGCTTACAGAACATCCTGACATGCTCAATGAGAAGGTGTGTACATCCAGTTAATCAAGTTAAGGTTGAAGAAGCTGTGACCATTATCATAGTAATATAATGAGCTAAAAGCAGGTTTTGTTTGTCTTCTGTCTCTGTTTTCTTTGGGATCGTAATTTTAGTTTCCATGATGTGTGATGCTTCATAGTTGTTGTAAGTATACAACAGTATGGTCAAGTGCATATCTGCTATCTTTGTGTTTTGCAGGATTGCCTGATAGAGGTGTTAGAGATTGTGGAACTGGGCATCTCGGGCAGCAAGTCGAAGACAGGTGAGCAGGAAGTGAGGTATAAAGGTGACAAAGAGCATAACCCCGCCTCCATGAGGGTCAAAGATGCGGCTGAAGCCACTTTGTCATGGTGAGTTTGACATCCTGTAAAATGAGATATGGTAATAATATATATGTTAGTCCATTAAATAGACTACCAGTGTTTTTTCACACAAAAAGAAACATTTTCTGGTGGACTCTTCGCTGGTTTCTGTTTTGGTATGTGAACTTTCACCATAGCTACAAAAAGGCATGTGTTAGTTTTGTAAGAAAAGACCTTTGATGATTGAAACAACACCTTTTATATCATGTGATGGGGCATTGAGCTTTGAGCTTTAGGATAAAACAAAGGTTGAACTGATATTTATTACTGTAATTGCAGTAAGTTCAGGTGTTGCTAATTGAACCAATTTTATTTGGCATTTCGCTCAGTCCTCTGTTCTGTTCTCTTCTGTTCCAGTATAATGCAAGTGGTGGGGGCTTTCCCATCCCCAAGTGGCCCTGCCTCCCCCTGCAGCCTGCTAAATGAGGACACGCTAATTAAATACTCTAGGCTGACGTCCACCTCTCACAGTAACTTTAGATACTATGTCCTCGACAATTCGGTCATTCTGGCCATGCTGGAGCAGCCGCTTGGCAATGAGCAGAGTGAGTAAAGCATATTAAGCTTACGTATACTGGTATGATGCCGCAGATGTATGTATATTGTAGAGATGAAACGATATTAAAATTTAATATCACGATTATCATGACCAAAATTATCACGATTATCGATATTATCGCGATATTGTTCAAAAGCGTTGAAAAGTAAAATAAATAAATAAATAAATACTGATACACAAACTGAAACTCGTTTCACCAACTTTTTTATTAACACAGATAGAATTGGCAGCAATATGCACTTTTTGTTTGCATAAACATTAAAAAAATATAGTCAATACATTGGTAGTATTACTTTTGTATTACCTACAATACTCTGTAAACAAAAGAATAGCAAATGTATTATTATTACTGTTATTACTATTATTATTATTACTGTTGTAAATAATAATTATTATTATTATTACCATTGTAATTATTATTATTATTAATTACAATAATTAGGGATTTCCCTGCATAGAGAATTAAATCTGGACCAACTCTGAGGTGGGTCTTAATGGAAAATTACTACTTCTGAGAAGTGTTGCACTTGGGGGATTTCTGTCATTATTATTATTGTGCCGTTGTGGCGCTGTACCCTAATCAACACAGTGCACCAGGAAAAATAGCCAAAATCACAGAGGAACTGCGTGACCGTGCAGACAGCATAGAACTTACAGTGTGTCTTCACCTGTGGAGCTGCTTCTCTAAAAGCATTTTAAAACTAAAACATAACTTAAAATTAACGCGCATCTGAGCTGCGGCAGAAACACTCCTAAAGTTTAATCTCTGAAACTCTGCTTTTCCTAAAAGCGGCACACAGCGTTTACTCGCGCAAGGTCCCGTCTCAAAGCACACTATCTTCCCTATGTAGTGCACTCCGTGGATCATGAAATAGCAAATCCTTCATCCCAAAGAGAGTGTGAAATGTTCACAATAACAATATATTAACAATAGGTTAGAAATTCCCTATTTAAAACTCAATTGCTTGTTAATGATGATCGTGTTTGTTTGAACAGTAGCGCACTAGGGACACTGAGTGATTTGAGACGGTGTAATTCTCTTCTCAGACAGTAAACACTGCAAGCGAGAAAGGGGAGCTGTGCAGATTGAACCTCTGCAGCGTCTCGTTCCAGAGCTTGTGTGACTGTTAACTTAGAGCTCATTTTGGAGACTCTGCTCCACAGAAATATGTGTTAAAGGCTTTAGTTTCGATTCACAGTTGATTCACCGAATGTTTTGACGCTTAAAGCTTCATTTTATATTATTAACGAACCATAAGCACAAGTTAAACCACACAGACCATGACATTTCTTCTATTTCGAAGTCCCCACGGACTTCTACGTTAAAGTTAACCTTGCATTCTCTAAAAAGTAGCGGGTGGTGGTCGCGAAGATGACTCGTAAGGTTGGATGTGTTGCCCCCTTTCGCCGCTATTTTCTTTCGGCCTGTTCTGCAGACAGGGTGGTCATCTTCAATGAACTTTCCTTCTGCATCCTTATAAAACCCAAAACATGACCAAATGTCAGACTTGGTCTTCATAGAAGGCTGAAATATCTCCGAATCTCTGTCACTACATTCCGCCATGTTCTCCCTTCTCTACCCCTCCCCCTCCCCCTTCCCCTCCACATACACAGAGCTGCGTGAGATGATTCTGCCTTTGTTTGATTCTGTGCAGCGAGTTTTTCACACCGCGGTAAACGACCGCGGTTTTAACGACACTTTAAAGTTCAAACGGTACTACTAACCGTCATTAATTTTACCGCGGTTTACCGTGAAACCGGTAACCGTTTCATCTCTAGTATATTGTGTATAGAATATATGAAAAATAGTGTTATTAGCTTATAAAAAACAAGATTTTTAAATGATTAAGATTCTGTGGTAACACTTTACTGTAGGGTTCTGTTCATACGGCTACATGACACTTACATAAGCTTGTCATGACAACTGACATAACCCTACATAACTGTTTATAAATGCTTATTTCAGCAGGCAGACTTGCTATAAAGGTTACATTTTGATCAAAGTCAGCTGAAGTAGCCTTTATGATAGATGACGCCTATTGGAATAAGTATTTATAAACATTTATGTAGGGTTATGTCAGTTGTCATGACAAGCTTATGTAAGTGTCATGTAGCCGTATGAACAGAACCCTACAGTAAAGTGTAACCGATTCTGTTTTTAATATTAATGTTGAAGACTTAATGATAACTTAAAAGTCATACCTAGAAATGATTTATGGTAGTGGCCATCAAGGAAATGGTGAGAGAAAATGTCAGTTCTTACCATACAATGAAGATGATGTAACAGCTGTGCGCGTGTGTTTCCTCAGACCCCTGTCCATCTGTCACAATGCTGATCCGAGGCATGTGTGGTCGTCACGCCTGGACCATGCAACTCTTCCATCAGCCTCGAGGAGCCAGGGCCAATCAGAAGGTAAAATATTCCCCCCACAACCAGTCAGGTCATTAATATACTTTTAAAAGGCAATCATAGTGAAAGGCTCATGTCGGTGTATACAGTACAGTGTAATGCATCTTACATAAAACAAAGCCAATCTTTCAAATAAAACAGTCAGTGAACAAAAATATTGTAGACCAGTTTCTCATTTTCACTGTCTCTCATCCTACAGCAGGTGTTTGTTCCAGAGGGTCGGCCAACTCCCAAAAACGACGTGGGGATTCGGTTTAATGTTAAGCACAGACCGTTCCCAGAAGAGGTGGACAAGATTCCGTTTGTGAAAGCTGACCTAAGCATTCCAGACCTGCATGATATAGTAGATAAGGAGGTAAGAATGGTCTCACTTTTGGAAAATGACAGTTTTGTGCTTTTTGAGGTTATCAATGTCAAAAGTGTTAGATGAAATAACCATTACATTGTACATACATTGTTTAAATAAGACTGGAATTAGATGAGCTGTGTTTTTTGACTAACAGGAATCCTACATGTCCTGTACTACAGCCTTGAAGTACTCAGATCATGTTGTGAGTTTGAACATGAGTGTGGGGATGTGGTGCATTGTCACAAACTGGTCATCTGGGTGTACACACCATAATTACTTATTTTGCTGTTATTATGGGGACACTGAAGACAAAGACTTTGCAATTTGACAATTAAATTAAGCAGGTGTGTTTAACAGCGTAAACACAAATTATATTGGGATAATGTTTAAAAATAGAGCCAGGACCACTTATCGAGAAATACTGGTTACTTAAAGATCATTCTTGATTTAGGTTAATATTTAGTTGTTGCGAGGGCTTTTCACACTCGTGTTGATTTTTATGGACGAAAACAGCAGATGTGATTTTTAATGCACTGGAAACTTTAACAAGTCAGATGTGAAAGAGTTAAATGCTCTGAACATCAAGCAGTAATGACAACAGAGTTATCATTTTAGCCAGTGCAAATCAGAAGGCCTAGACACGGTATTAGCCCATTCTGGTTTAAAAGCTCTGAGCACTGAAAGGAGCTAACAGAACAAACCACAAAAGCCACCATGAACTTAAAGACAGCATTGGTTTTAAAGTGTACAGATTTAAGAGTTGTTATGCATTTTTTTTCCTGGAAATGGAAACTGTCCTAGATATATGAATATGTGACTGCAAAATATGTATGTAAGGTATGAGTGGGTAGGTGGAAAAGGTTTGCAGTTTGGGCCAAGCTGGCAAAGGTGCATTTGTGTGTTGTATTTGTTTTAGGTAATAGACATTGTGGTGAAAATTATAAAAGTCACCTTTATGTCATTTCATGGTAAATGGGAATTTACTTTCTTAGAATTTCAGTAGAAGGGATCAATCTTTGTTTTTTTTAATCCTTTCATTGTTTTCAGTGTGTGTTAGGAAGGGAATGTGGGCGATAAGTCAGTATTTACTGTCTCATAAACCACTTCCCATGAAGTATTAAATGAATTAAGCCATTCAGGGGGACTTTCACTTCACTAATCTGATACATGTGCATATGTTTCAGCTGGAGCTGCAGCATGATAAGCTGCGTGGTGTGATGGTGAAGCAGATAGAGTATGAGACCGCTTTAGAGCACTACACTGAGGAGCTGTGGAGGAATAAACCCTTCCCTGATCCACTGACCGACTGTAAACCTCCTCCTCCAGCACAGGAGTTCCAAACTGCTCGCCTCTTTCTTTCACACTTTGGCTTCCTGTCGCTAGAGGCCCTCAAGGTATTAGAAGCTATCAGACTTAACACCTCCTCCCTTTCTTAGCAATGTTTTCTCTTTATACCTTATGCTTTCGCTTATTCTTTATGTTCTCTTTTTTGCAGAATATTCCCATTTAGCCTACACAGCACTGTGCAAAAGTCAGAGACCAACTGTTTGTTTATTCAATTTCCAGTCAAAACAGCTGTCATGTTTTTTTTTTCAGTGTCAGAAAAAAGCAGGAAACATATACATAGACTCCTAACAACTGTGCAAAACCTGGTAGATCAAAATAAATTTGACTAAATAGCTAAACAGCACTTAAAACTTCCATCTGTGAGAGAGAGGAGAAAATTGAGCTCCACTCTTGTTTCAGATCTGAAAAAAATCTCAGGTGTTTCTGTTCATCCTGTTCAACACTATGAGTCTGAAAGGATGTGTAGCTGTCAAGAGACTATTACTGAGTAAAGGAACTAGATTGAAAGGAGAACCAATGAAATTTAGCATATGAGATGTGGAGTAAGATTTTATCGACTGATAAGTCTACATTTTTAATCAAGGTTACTTTGACTATGAGAAGCAGAAAATGTAACCAACTCAAAACTGAACTTAACTGTGGAAAAATACCCCTGTAGATTTCTTTGAAAACTGAAACTCTGAAAGTCTCCCATAAATAATGGAAGCAATAATAAAGCCAAAACCTGGACACCCTATATAGAAAGAAAAAAAAAGAAAATAGATATTATATTTAATTGTTAAGGTGTCAGTGTATTATTCAGTTAAATAAAAGTTTTCAGCTTTTTCCTGAATCTGAAAAATTAATACCTTATACTTGAAATTAAACAAATGAAAGGGTGGTCGCTGACTTTGCACAGTACTGTACATAATGGTTGTACTCTTATTTAGATGTTAGCGTATTGTCATATGTGTTGTTTTTCTTTTATGTGTGCCCATTTTTATTTTTATGTGTTATATTATTTTAATGCTTTTTGTCTCTGAATGTTTTTTTTTTTTGCTTTAAATTTGTAACATTCCAGACTGATTGTTTTGCTGATGCTGTTATAAAAAAAAAAGGAAAAAAGGAGAAAATGCAAAAATAAAAGATCAAACTAGTGAATAATATGAGTGTTGGATCAGCAACTGTTGTGTGTGTGTGTGTATAATTTTATGTGTGTATATTTTGTTTCCAGGAGCCAGGTAATAGCCGTTTGCCTCCTCACCTCATTGCTCTAGACTCGACTATGTCAGGCTTCTTTGATGACATCGGCTACCTAGACTTGTTGCCATGCCGACCCTGTGACACAGTTTTTATCTTCTACATGAAGGCGGGACAGAAGAGCAGCCAAGAGGTAAACACAGTCAGTGGCAGGTCATAGCAGTGCACCTTCTTTAAGCCACCAGTGACATTTAAACAAGTTGTAAGGAGTGTTTGTGTCCTATTGAAGTTTTTTTGTCTGTTGTACACTGAGTTTGTGCGTATTTGCAGATCTTGAGAAACGTAGAATCCTCTGCGAATGTGCAGCCACATTTTGTGGAGCTTCTCTTATCTCTGGGCTGGCCGGTTGAAGTAGGACAACACCCAGGCTGGACTGGGAGTGTGTATACCAGCTGGACCATCAACACATCCAATGGCACTGATACACCAGGTACACACTTTTAAACATCTCAGTCAGCAATCTGCATTTGGCTTTCCATTGTATAATTCTGATGCAGAAGATGGTGGTGAGGTATAATTTCCTGTCTGTCAGGCTGTTACTATTGACATTATTGATTTAAAGAGTTTTTTGGTCCCTTTTCTTGCTGCAGATGAGTGTGTGGCTGTGGGTGACACTGGAGTTGGGATTTTTAATGGAGAGAAGAGGGTTCTCTACTACGCTGATGCCCTCACTGAAATTGCTTTCGTGGTGCCCTCACTCAGTGACTCCTCTGGTAAACACTAACACTTCAAAGCTGGCTTTTATTTCTTTTCTTTTTATGTTCGTGTTTTAATTCTTGTAATGATCAGAGGTTAGAATTTTAAACAAAACCAAAAGCCAGTGGAGACTCCAGAGTGATAATAATGTATTCAAAACTTTACACAAATAAAGTGTACATTGCTGTCACATTAACTATAGTGGGGCCAACATTAGCACTACAGCTGACAAAATCTGATTTGCTGTTAGTTCTGTGTCCACCAAACAGGCTCTGGATCTCACACAGGAGGGTGTAAAATGCTCGTTTTGTTATTAACCCTGGATATTTGTTAATATGTTAAAATTCAACGGGTCTGGTTGTTTGTTAAAAGGGAAAAAACTAAAAAATCTCCAAGACTGTCCGTTTTAGTGGCCAGAAGTGAAATATTGTGGCAACAGGCACCAGACAATCAGCAGCAAGGAAAACATAAAATAAAATAACCGATGAATAAAAAGATTCTTGGTCTGTGTAAGAGTAGTATTAAATACATGTTATGTAAGTAAAAAATGAAATTTACATACATAAATCTAGAGTATTTTAGTTAACTCAATTAATAATTAAAGTGCATTGAGAATTTGTGCGTATGTTTGTGTGTTTGTCTGTTTGGTTTTCTTTGTGCATTTCCACACGGGTGCACGTTTAGCGGAGTCATCAGAGAACAGTTTCCCCACAGCAGACTCTGATTCTCAGATGGAGCTGCTGCCGAGCCTGCTGAAACAACCCAACCTCACACTGGAGCTCTTCCCCAACCACTCAGACAACATGGGCCCTACACAACGGGTAAACACATACACATATAGATTTGCACTATGGTGACCATATTTACAGCCAGCCATTTTTCCAGAAGAGAAATTGGCATTGCAGAAACTTCAACAGATGAAATGCACAGTTGCAGACCTAGTGTAAGAGAGTTAGAATTGGGCACTCTGCACTGCAGGGAAACAATTTGCTGATGTTTTTTTCCCGTAGCAGAAATCCCTGTACAGAAAACAAGATTCTCATTTTACTTGTCTGCCCTTGGCGCATCCGATAACATGTTTCAAAAGCAGGACATCAACAATATCAGCACAGTATCCGAGTCAAAAACGCTTGCAGTTGGGATATACATGTTTGTTTACTGTATTGTGTAACGGTTGGTCTCTTTGTGTCAGTCTCCCACAGTGAAGAGTAAGAGGCTGCCATCAGGCAGGAGTATACCTCCTCTGGGTCCTGAGACTAAAGTACTGGTAGTCTGGGTGGAGCGATATGATGACATTGGTAAGAGAAAAAAGAACAAAAATGATGTGTTTTGGAGAGACTACTGCTGAGAGGATATTAATCCAAAATAAGACATAATAAACACAGGTTTTGTATTGGTTTTTATTATGATGACATCATGATTTAGGGTCCATATGTTGGAAAACAGAAATTTTCTTTGCTTTATTGAAATATTCTAGTTTGATGTAATGTGTAAACACTGTTAAAGTTTCGAAACAGTTTAGCCCCACTCATTCACATTAAAGTACTAAGTGTTTTAGCCCAGGCAGCTTTTTGAATAAGGCACAATACAAGGTAACCAATCAGAACAGAGCTCATTTACAAATCTCAGTCGTAAAGGCACAGTATCTATCCTGTTTTATTCTAAGGACCAAAGAAAACTGTCACATCAGAACAATTTATGACTGTTTTTTGTTACATAAAATTACACAGAGCTTATAAGTGGATCTTAGGGGGAAAAATAAAATACAAAAAAAAAAAGAAAAATTAGTATGCAGATATCAGACAGCAGTTTTGTGACTGCTTGCTATTATTTAAAATAATAATAGTAGTTATAATAACAATAATAACAAGTTTACCTGTTAGACCAGTATTCATTGCTGCAAATAATAAAAACTTGTTTGCAAGACTAAATAATTCAGTGTTTGTTGGCTGAATAAAAACTCTCAGCTTCACTCAGGCTGTATGTAGGGCTGTGAATGCATGGCTGTCTCGCTCTTTAAACCGCAAAACAATCTTTTAGTGATCAGTCAGTATTGATCATAAGCGTCTGACCTGAGTGTGATTTTGTATCTTTGCAGAAAACTTCCCTGTGTCCGAGTTGTTGGCAGAGACCAGCACAGGAGTGGAGAGTGCGGTCAACAGTAGTGCTTCCAGGTCAGTATTCATAAGTCTGAGCTGATTTACACTGCTGCTTAGTAGTTTGGGGTCATCTTGCTTTATTGTAAAATTTTCAGGCTAATTTTTACTGCACTTTATTGTTTATATAAAATAATACATGAAATGTTTTTGTTAACATTAGGCAGTTTTTTGCTAATACTTTGGGTGTATTCTGCAACATTGAGCTTCATTTTCATCAAAGTGTCTTTCTTAGTATGGAGTTTTGCCTCCATATTGTTTTTTGTTCTCAGCTAATGTAAAAATGTACAACTCTTTTGGCCCAAAGATGGTTTAAACACTTGAAGGCTTAAGTGCTGAGTGTTGAGTCCTGATTAGTCTTTTACAAACCTTACAAACATTATTGTTATTGCATTGCACTGTTATTGCAAACCAGCAAAAATAACATGCTCATCTGGATTTTTAAAACAAAAAACCTTTTTTGAAAAGCTAGTTGTCTGCCAAACTTGTGAGGGTGCATGATTTGATTTGTGATGTATAATTTTGTTCATTGTTTGTCTCAGACCCAGCTCCTCGGAGAAGGATGTCCCAGTCATTTTCATTCACCCACTGAAGACGGGTCTATTCCGCATCAAACTGCATGGAGCCATGGGGAAGTTCAGCATGGTCATCCCACTAGTGGATAATATGGTGGTCAGCAGGCGATCACTGGGTAGGCTTCTGTTTATGTGTCTGTTTACCAGTTTCTGCTTACTCTGATTTGGCTTGACTGCTCTGGCTTGACATGCTGATCTACAGCATGTCAAGATCATTAAATATCAGCATTGACAGAATGGCTGCAGCGTGCTTGAAAGGCAGTGGACATCCATTCACATGTAAGCTGCTGTGAGATTTAAAAAGCAGTTTCACTGCTCAAACTCAGGGCCTTAATGTCTGTTCTCACAGAGTATTAAAACATGCAGTTTTTAATGTAGTTGAATCTTCACATCAAGTCTGCATTTTTTAAACATTTTGAGAATACGAGAAGACTGAAAAAGGAGAAAGGATTACATGCTTCCATGCATTATTGTTATTTTTTTTAAAATAACCAGCTTGACAGCAAAGTTTTGTCTGGTGTTTTAACTATGTTGTCCTTTGCTTTTTTCAGGCTTCCTAGTAAGACAGACGGTGATAAATGCATGTCGGAGGAAGCGCCTGGAGAGCGATTCGTACAGTCCACCTCATGTACGACGGAAACAGAAAATAGCTGAAATTGTTAACCGTTACCGGAACAAGCAGCTGGAGCCCGAATTCTACACATCACTGTTTCAGGAGGTCGGAGAGACTAGCCTCAACCCTTAAACATACACGCAGAGGTTCTTTTCCATGATGGATGGGGAACTGCTGTTTTTTTGTTTTTGCCAAATGGCCACCGTCTCTCAGCTGTCAAAAACTACAGTCATTGCCCATGACGGCTTCCTAGCTGATCCAAACGCTGATGCCAGAATGGATGCTTTTTCCGTTTTTCTCATTACTGTATTTCATGTGCTTTTATTTTTACATCATCCAAGACTGGAAAGGAGAAAGCATTAGATGCAAGATGAGACAGTTTACTCTAAGAACACTATCCATAGTAAACACTAATGTCAGTGTCAGCAGTGGAGTTTAGATAGGTTGACTTTGGCTTTTCTCCTCCAGACATGTGTACACACACACACACACATACACACACCTGCGTGCCAGTCTGTGTTGATGCATAATGTTATTTTCTTTTCAAACTCAGGTGGTTTTACCATTCTTCATATGCATTGACATGGTCATGTAATTCAGTGCACTCCAACAAGCTGACCTCAGCTTCATGTTCCTCTTCCCAACCTCTCTCTCTCTCTCTCTCTCTCTCTCTCTCTCTCTCTCTCTCTCTCTCTCTCTCTCTCTCTCTCTCTCTCTCTCTCTCTCTCTCTCTCTCTTTCTCTCTTTCTTTCTCTCTTTCTCAAATACCGTCATCCGTGGACTTTGATTTCACAGAAGTCCTTATTAACGTTAATACTCCATTCAGAGAATGTTTGGCTTTTTTCATTTTATGTATTTATGTAACGGTTGTGAAGATGACTTTAAAGGTCCTCCAAAGTGGTTGAGATTTTAAAGTCATTGACAAACTACTGAGCACTCCAGTACTTGTAGAGATCCCAGACGTTTGGCGCTTACTATCATCCTCCTTGAACTCTAGATTTGTGCATTTGAAACTGTGGTGGGATTCGCTCGTCACCCTCACCAGCTAGTGTCTTTTAGTTCAGCTTGACTGTGATCTATCCAAACACAATTTCAATTCAAACAGTCATAAGGGCTTTGATCCTTTATTTCCTCCTGATTTTCATCCTATTTTATAAGTTATCTGGTAAATGTAGGTGCCACTTATTTTTCTTCTTTTGTAATTTCTGCTGGATGTCAGAAACACTGGTCTTTTTAGACGTTATTTTCATTTTTCATCCTAGAAATATATAAAAACAGATTATTTGATCCACAGAAAATCATGTTTCATCTCTCATTTACTGAGGGATGCTTGGCATGTCATTTGTCTCTTTCATGTATTTTTGACATACAGCTTTTAAAACACAGGTCACTACAGAGAATAGTCGATTGAAAGGAATGACTGTTAAAACATTACTGTACCTGGTCCATGATGCTCATTCAGGTTAACCTGCTTTTTTCATTCTCTTTCACTTCCCTCCATTTAAAAAGAGAAAATGCCTTTAGTCAGTAAAGGACAAGTCTTGTGTTGCTCTTATAAGTCCCTTTCCTCACAATTGGAAGGTTTGATGTTGAGAGAACATCATAAACAGTTAACATGTATTCCTAAAATAAATAATCACATCTGTTTTTGTGTCTGTAGAAAATCACAAAATTCCCAGTTGATGAAAAATTAATGAATTCTTCTCAGAATATAAACCACTTCAGCGAACCGCTTCTCCTGGTGCACAAGACTTGGACCTTTATTTGGTTGATTAGAGACGTCCTTTTCTTCTTTTTTTCTTCTGTAAATATTGAAGGCATCGACTTTGTATAAAGTTGGACTTTACATGTAAATATGAGGGTGTGAAGTTTCGCTCACTCATTCTATTAGGAAAGGCACAAAAAAGAACGCTCGTTTGTATTTATGCCTATCATATATGTGTCCTAAAGAAACACATTGGGTATTGAATGTAACACATGTAATGAAATAAAGATTTTAATTAACTTCTTATCATAAATCCCTGCTGGTTCTGCTTCTGGTTCACTCAGCTCCTGCCTTTCATCTGAGCTCTTTCTTGAGTGTGTTCAGTTGGAAGAATTTCATTCTGACCGTTTTGGTCCTGTGAAAGGAAAGGTTAGTTGGGGGCAGGAAAGGGTCAGTGAGATTTGGAGGATTTTGTTCCTGCCATTTTTCTCAGTTTCTTATCAGGACGTTTTGGAAATGGGTTCTCTTGTAAGCTTTACAGCTTGCTGCAAATTGGGTTTTATTTCTTCTTTTTTACAACAGACAATAATTTATTTGGATCTGTACATTTATTTCTTTATTTACTTATTTTTCTATAACCTAGGCCTACTCAATAAAAATATAAGCCCAGTATGCTTATTTAAGCTTGCATGCCATGTACAGCAGCACTGTTTGTACTAAAATCTTAGTTTCAAAACCATATATTCATTAAAGGAGAATTCCACCAGTTTTCAAAAATTCTGCATACTTAAATTGTTAAGACAAAGTAAACAAACTTATTCAAAGTGGTTTGCTGTTAAAAGCATAATTCAATTATTGAGAGTTAAATATAGTCATACAAAAACTCATGTAGAAGACGTGTTGGTTCATTGGTGGTTTTTAGATAGAAAAAAATAAAATAAAAAGGCTATATGTATTCCATATGTATCTATTTCACATTAAAACACTGATAAACTTTGTTTATATCATTTAATTACATGTTTGAAAAAAATTTTTTTTACACAGAATCGCTTATGTAACTTTGGTTATCTGTTACATAACATTTCATAACAAAAGTAGGTTAGATGTAAAATTATCAGAGCAAACAGAAATTTTCATCTGCTTTTCTACTTGTTTGTAATTCCTTTATTTATCTGTAAGGTTGAGTTCTTGTTTGCATTCACAGTGTATCTTCAACCTACAGATGAAGCCTTCTTCAGACACAGGCTTTTTTTTCTGTCTGGCTGTAGAGGTCACTGTTTGAAGTCTTTGATGTCTCATATGTCAATCAGAAGTGTTCTAATGGCCATTGTCACCTTGAACTGAACTCTTCTTTTTTGCCCCCTCTTTGCTGCAGTAAATGAGAGCTTGCTCTGCTCATTAAAAAAAAAAAAACAACTTTACCCCAAGTGAAGACGAACCTTCAATCAATCCTGCATCTTGAAACACCAGCTGCTCCACAGCACACACACACACACACAGGTCCTCAGAGGCTGAATAGACTGCTGACTCACACTTTGCTGGAAGAGAAACCATTTATCGTATTGTGACGTTCTTACGTTCTGACTACGCACACAAACACACATATGGACACATTCTGTCTTGTCTCAAGACCTCTGACCTGTCCCCCCCCATCCACTCCTACACGCTCAATGTCTGGTGTGACCTCTGTGGCCGATGCTGTGTGTGCGTCAGTGATAGGCCAGATATAGATAACATCACCAGTTTTCTATTTTCGTCTCTTTTTTGAGAGCAACTAATACCAACGCAAGTACAGACAGTCTTAAAAGTCTCCTTTTGTAAGTGGGTCTGAATCTTCCTACTAAAATATTAAATCATTTGGTACCCGAATGCAGACATCAAAAATGTTTTACTACTGTTACCCAGGTTGTAATGAAATGGTGTGCGTGTGTGTTTTCATTAAGATTCTGACAGTCACTAATGTTTTCTTATTTGGGATTTGTTCTTAGGTAAGAACAGAATCTACACATACTCAAGAGCACAAAGGTGCAAACAGGTCTGTGGTTTAAGAACACGTCATGAATCTGACGTAGACTTTTTCTTAGAACCTTTTTTTCAAGAACACATTCAGGGAAAAATATAAAGGGAAGATATTGGTGACTGAGGCCCAATGAGTCATATGTAATCATGCTATGACATTTTTGTACCAATGGCAGTGGCTGCTTACCTGGCTTACTTTGTTTACATCATAGAACTGTGACACAGTTTGGCCAATCAGAATAATTGTTGGCCAACTGCTAATTTCAGGCATATAGGAGTTAGTGTGTCATTTATATGTGTATTTAAATAGATGTTACTGCAAATAATTTTGTTTCTGCCAAATATATATATATATATATTATATATATATATATATATATATATATATAAATATTTATATCTCATTTACACATTAAATTGAAGAACATTTTTACTTTTACTAGATAAGATGAAGATACGAATTTGTATAAAAGCAACAATATATTGAGGTCAAATAACAAACTAACTCTTCTTCTGCACTGTGTGTGTATGAGCAGAGAGAGAGAGAGAGAGAGCACAAGGGAAAGTAATTTCTATCCTGCACAATTATTACTGCAATCCCCTTTTTCTCCTCTTTTTTTTACCATCAAATATGCATTCAATTTCATAGAAAATAAATATTAAAATACGTGTTAAAAGAAAACAGCTTGTAATTGATAGTTTTATGTGATGATCAATTCTTAGAGTGTTAGTATCAATCCACCGTCTCTGGCAGTGTTTCTGAAGCATGTGAGTCCAGCAGCAGCAGTGAGAGCTGGTGGAGGGGTCACTGTCAGACTCTCTTGGCTCCTGGCCCTTGGCAGGCCCCTGTGTGCCTGTGTGAAGGGCTGGCTCTCGGCCATGCCCCAGTCTTACCCTGCTGGAAGCCTCTCTACTGCCTTATGCTGAGCTTTTCCATCTCACAGCTTACTCTTGCCTCTCTCTCTCTCTCTCTCTCTCTCTCTCTGTCTCTCTCTCTTCACTTCATTTCATTGCTCTGCTCTTGTCCTGTTTCTTTTTCATTTTTCCAATTTTAACACTTATCGACACTCTTTATCCCATTGTGGCATTTTTTTTCTTTCAGTTCTTTTCCTGCCTTTCTCCCTGCATCTATAGAGAAACTAGTCCATGTGGAATTGAAAGTTGAGGCCGAGCGAAAACAGAAGAACTCTGCATCAGGATTTTCCTGATATCATCCTAGAACAGGGCTGAGATAAATTTGAAAGGAGAGGCAGAGGGAGAAGCAACAAAAGAGCTGTGTAAATATTCATTTCTGCTTTTGAATTTGAATAAGAAAGCTTAGCCATCTTTGTTCCGCCAGTAACTTGTATTTCAGCTGCTTCAGAAGCTCTGGAACAAAAATTACTTTCAAAGGAATATTGGGCCGGGGGGGGATGTTGATGTTTATCATTGGATAGTCTTGTAAAATGTGAAAAATGAAAAATATTGCACTAAACATCGCTTTTTGCATATCCCTTTTTGTTTGTTTCATTTACCATTTAAAGGAATGGTTTGCAAAAAATCTAATTTACACAGTTTTCTGTTTACCCCAACTGTATATCATCAACCAAGAGAAGTTTAGTGTCCAAATTTTTGCTTCTTTTCTTTAGTGCTGAAGCTATGAGGCCAAAGTCGCTAACAAACAGAAGTCAATAGTCACCCAAATCTTTTTCATAAATACATCCACAAAACTTCTCTCAACTCATTCAAACTACATGTCTTCATTAAAGTTGCGCAGACTTGTCAATGTTTATGACTCTTCCCAGAATCCAACTCCCCTTGACATTCATGCATATCACACCAGGGCCGCCAGAACCGTGGGGGCGAGTGGGCACTTGACCCACTATTTTTCAAAGTACTGGAGAACGCACACAAAAAACCTCAGCTCTCACTAAACGACATGAAGCGCTGACCAGCACAAACGGACAGTGTAAAACTCAGCGGTAAGGCCAATCAGAATCTCCATTTCAGCTGGGAGGCGTTTTCTGACCTGCCGTGGTTGGTGCAGACTGTCCAACTTTTTTTTCGGTTTTGACATCTGACTCCGCCCGTATTCAGGCAGCACCAAACAGCTGAACCACGCTAATTCACAAGGGATTTCAACACCAGAGCTCATTATTTTTCCACTGCACATTTTCTGTGTACTGTCTGCAATATCTGCTGCTTTGACATGTTACTCTTTACAAACGTTCATATTGTTTCTGCATCGCAAACTGCTGTACATAATGAATGACAAGCAGTACAATAATAATATTTGCATCCCTGCAGAACTTCTGATCAATAAACAAACACCCATGTGTAATTTAGTCCACGTGCAGTTCACAATCCGAACCAAAGGAAAGACATAAAATATCACAAAAACAAACTGTGGTGGGTCTTTAGAAAAAGAACTGGGTATGAAAACAGCTTGATGTGCTTCAGAGATGTTAGCTAACAAATACTGCTGTCTGAGGCTGCAGCTACTGAAGCAGCATCAAAACAGACACCAACACTGTTCATGATCAGGTTCAGA